TCAGGACACTTGCGTGAGCACTTAGGGGATCTGCCTGGAAATTCATGCAGATTTCAGAGCGAATATGAGTAGGGACAGCAAGGAGCCACTTCCGACCACCAGGCATGTTGTTGCGGCGGTACAGAATGTTGTCTCGCACGGAAAAGTGGGCTGCTTGCCGGCGTAGCGCTCTCGTGGAAGGGACAGCAGGCGGATCGATAAGGTAGTCGAGTAACAATGCAAGGTATGGGTCCTTACGCTGCTCCAAAAGCATGTCAGTGGTGTCGATTGGTGACAAGGTGGTAAAAAGGGGTGACAGTGAAGCCACATCTGGTGTTAATGGCGATCGCGAAAGTGCATCGGCACCCGCATGCTTGCGACCGGAACGATAAACGACACGGATGTCGTATTCTTGCAATGGAAGTGCCGAACGGCCCAGTCGTCCGGACGGGTCTTTCAAGGTGGACAGCCAACAGAGAGCATGGTGGTCTGTGACCACGTTGAAAGGACGGCCGAAAAGGTAGGGCCGAAACTTCATCAACGCCCAGATTATGTCCAAACACTCCATCTCTGTCACGGAGTAATTCAATTCAGCCTTCTTGAGAGCGCGACTTGCATAGGCGACTATGTATTCGGCTTGGGTGCCTTTCCGTTGTGCCAAAACTGCACCAAGACCGATGCCACTTGCATCGGTGTGAATTTCTGTGGCAGCAGCGGGGTCGTAGTGGCGAAGAATAGGTGGTGAGATCAACAGGCGGCACAGCTGGCGAAATGCGTCGTCACATGCAGTACGACCATGCAGATATACCTTCGCTGTTGGAAAGCAGACTCGTGAGAGGTGCGATGATGGACGCGAAGTTGTGCACGAAGCGACGAAAGTAGGAGCAGAGACCGACGAAACTTCTTAGGGCTTTCAGTGATGTGGGCAACGGGAAGTCAGCGACAGTTCGAAGCTTATCGGGATCCGGAAGAAGACACTCTCTTGTGATGACATGTCCCAAGATGGTTAGTTTTCATGCTGCGAAGTGGCACTTTTTGGAGTTAAGTTGTAGGCCTGCAGAAGTTAGACACGTCGGAATCTCGTGGAGGCGAACAAGATGTGTCGGGAAATCAGATGAAAAAACTACGATGTCGTCCAAGTAACACAAGCAAGTTTTCCACTTATGGGTACGCAAGATGGCATCGATCATGTGCTCAAATGTGGCAGGTGCGTTGCAGAGCCCAAATGGCATGACTTTGAACTCATATAGGCCGTCCGGCGTTACAAAGGCTGTTTTAGGGCGCTCGCATTCAGACATTGACACCTGCCAATACCCAGAACGCAGATCCAAGGATGTAAAGTACTCGGCGCCTTGTAAACAGTCAAGAGCATTGTCTATTCGTGATAGCGGATAGACATCTTTCTTCGTAATCTTGTTTAAGCGGCGATAGTCCACGCAAAATCGAATGGTGCCATATTTTTTCTTTACCAGAACCACAGGTGATGCCCAAGCGCTTTGAGAAGGCTATATGACTCCATGTTTAAGCATGTCATCTACTTGCTCCGTAATGACACGGCGCTCTTCGGCGGACACGCGGTAAGGATGCTGTCGCAGAGGCGAATGTGAGCCGGTGTCAATAGTATGAGTGATAGTCGTGGTGCGGCCCAAAGCAGGTTCTTGAAAGTCGAAATAAGAGCAAAACTTGTTAAGGAGAGCGACAAGTTGGCGGCGATGCGAGAGGGGAAGATCTGCATTGATAGCATTGTCGAAGGCTGACGAACTTGATGGCCCAGACGCATGAGTGATTGTGGCAATGTGACATGGTATTTCGTCGGGAAGAGTAATATCATCGGTATGGTCGACAGGTTGCACATATCCTAACGTTTCACCACGAAGTAAGCCAATGGTGTAGTTCCAGTGGTTGGTAACCAGCATTACGGTTAAACCAGACGCAATTCTAAGAAGGGCAAATGGGAGAACGATGCCCTTGCGTTCAGTAAAAACCGGAGATGGAATAAATACCACCGTTGCGTCAGGTTGCGCATCACATGAAAGGCTAATAGGGACCGAAGCTTCTGGAGGCAAGGTGATGTCGTCGTCAGCGATGAGTTTGCAGAGCAGAGGAGAACAGTCGGGTGGTAGAAATTCACATGTTGGCACAAGGGACACTTCGGCTCGGGAACAATCGATGATAGCTTCATGACGTGATAAGAAATCCCAACCCAGGATAAGGTCATGAGAGCAAGATGGTAGAACAAAAACTTTACGACGTACTGTACACACAGCCGAGGGATGATTTACGGCGCGCTGTACACACAACCGAGAAATGAATGTGTTGCGCGCTAGCCGTGGACAGCACCGTGCCACAGAGAGATGTGGTCACTTTCTTCAGTTTCCGACAAAATGTTGTGTTCATCACAGAAACGGCGGCCCCGGTATCAATTAACGCTAATGTGGCGACTCCCTCAACATCGACATAAACATTTTGTGGCGAAAATGGAGGCCTTGGGAATTGCGCACAAGTTGCAGTTCTTGCCTCCGGAACTGCACTGATTAGTTTCCCTCCTCAGGAGGTGGTCGACGACGCATAGGCGATAGCGATCGGCGACAAGGGGATGGGAAACAAGCAGTCGATGGGCGGCGATCCGCGTCGGAGTGCCTCTGTTCATATGCAGACCTGGTGGCCTGCTGCGGCGCGTAGGTAGGAGTTCCGAAGTATGCGTGCGCAGGTGTGGGACGGCGGCGGCAGAAGCGTGCAATGTGGCCAGTGATGCCACACGCGAAGCATATAGGACGATTGTCTTGGGTGCGCCATTCATTAGATGGATGGAAAAAGTTAGGTGGGGGCCTGTAAACTGGAGGCGAGGCCAGAGGAGGTGAAGCCGAAAGGCGACTGGATGCGGTGGGGGCCGCGCGACTACAGCCGCGTAGCTGAGAGCTGAAGGTGGCGCAGGTGGTGCGTAGCCGGCAGTTGCTAGATCAGATGGTACCAATTGCATTGGATAATGGGCCGGAATTGTAGGGAGGGCATCGTAAATTTCAGTGCGTATGGCCTGCTACTGTGTTGAAGGGAGGCTTGTGGTGGGCGCGTTGCTATGCGGCAGCAGAAAGAGCTGTCGGGCGACTTCCTCCCTTATGAAGTCTTTAATCTGGTTCGACAGAGCTCCTTGGCGAACGTTGCCATTTGCGAGTGCGACGGCCGAGATTGAATCTGGCGATGGGACACTCTATCGGGCGATGGAACGCTGACGACGCAATTCATTGAAGCTCTGGCACAGGCTTACGAGGACTGCCACCTTGGTCGGGCTTTTCGCCAGCAACATCTGGAATGCATCATCCTCGATGCCCTTGAGAATCTGTCGAATTTTCTCTTCTTCAGGCATAGATGGGTTAACACGCCTGAAGAGGTCGAGAACATCCTCAATATAACTATTAAATGTCTCGCCAGGTTGCTGGGCTCGGTGGCGTAGACGCTGGTCAGCGCGGAGTTTGCGGACCTCTGGTCGGCCGAACGCTTTGGTCATGAGGGTCTTAAAGGTGGACCAGTTGGTGATGGCGGTTTCGCGGTTGGTAAACCATAGTTTAGCGACGTCAGCCAAGTAAAAGATAACATAGTCGAGCTTAGAGTCATTGTCCCACTTGTTGCTGGCACTTACGCGTTCGTACAAGGACAGCCAGTCTTCGACGTCTTGCTCACCACTGCCGCTTAAGACTGGTTGGTCCTGCTGACGGGTAGCGCCGGGGCAGGTCGACGGGGCAGACGATGGTGCTGGCTGTGCTGGGATGGGCTGGTTGGCGACTGTGTCAGTCATGTTGTACAGTGGTCTTTCGGCCAACTTGCGAGAGCAGAGCTCCAGGTCTGCTTAGGGATCTCAGCAGCCTCCACCAAATGCGATAATTTTTATTCAAACAGAGGAGTCGCAATGAGGTCGCGACTGAAAGTGGGCGTACGGCAAGTCTGGCAAAGGCGGCACAGGTTCTCGCGCAATCAGAGCACGGGGTTTTTCGATCTCTTTGGAAGGCGCATACGCGTTAGTGCGTATGCTCCACTACATGTGGAACTTCGATTATACGCCCCCCTTTTATGCAACGTCGCACTTTTTAAAACGGATCGGTTTGGTCCCTGCAAAATCTCCAAGAAGATGATCTATTAAAAACCTTTGCTATACGACACAGTTTTACGCTGGCCCCGCATCTTGTGGCAACTTTCGGAATCCGTCCGAAATGAAAAACCACCTTTACTTGCATCGAAGGTTGACCAAATATTGTCGCGAGTGAAAAATATGAACTTTCGTTCCTTTCGGTTGATCATTAAAATTAAAAATTTAGACAGGATGTCTTGGATTGGAAAATTTATTGTCTTGGCAATTCATCCACTTTTTCAGACGCCTTGATTGCTTCCGTACACAAGGTCTTTACCTGGAGAAGCCCTATCTATAGAGTAGCTTCAGCTGGCCGAAGAGCCCATTTCTGAGAACCCGATATTTTTGTTTTTTGGTCTGTGGAAACTTTTCCTGGTCCATGTACAGCTGATCATCTGCCTTGGTTTGTGGCACTCGTAATCACAAGCTTGAGCATGCGAAAGGGTGCAATGTAACTATTTTCACCGTGCAAAATAACTTTCACCTGACATCAGCGTTCATTATAACAGCGGGACGTCGCTAGTAGTTGCGCTTTATGAGGCAACAGATTACAATATCTCAGTCGAGAGAGAAGGCATTCAATTCAACCTCGTGAGGTAGTCATGCATCGCCATCATTAGATGTGGACGACACTGTACGTGTCTAACTCTTCTGATGGGAGGCTGTTGGTAACGCGGTTTCGGTTTGGTTTTAACATGCAGTCAATTTTCAGACTCAATTTATTGAGAGAAAGATGTGCGTTGAATTTGATTTTCAAAGCTGAAAATAGAGATTCGCTCGCACCTGTCTCAACTAAGTAATGCTTCCATTAGCAAAAATAATTTAATCTACCTTCTTTGGAGAAGCACGAGGTGCTGTAGGACGTGCCGAACAAAGGGCGGTGATCTTGTCTTCCCAGGTGGAAGCAGTGAAGAGCAACGTGCTGCAGAGGAGTCTCGAGTCCATGATGGACCGCAAGGAGGCCCTGGCACAGAAGATTCTGGAGACTGAGGATCCCGACCAGATAGCCGAAATCACCGCTCGCATAGACCAGCTGGAGGAGCAGGTAAGCACTATTCACAGCCTGTTGTGATTTCGGAGTGAATTTTTTGTGTTGCGTCGAGACGCTGAACATTGCAAATACAGTCGAACCTCTTTATTAGAGACACTGATATAACATACAAATGGGTGTAAAAGACACCAGTGTGCCTACAGTAAATTACGGGTCGATATGAAAACGCATACGAGGTACCATGCTTAGAAGAGACATTTTATATAAAAGACAAGACCTGCTGCCCCTTACAAAGGGGTTTAACTGTACAAGGTTTTGATAAAAAATACCTGGCACAATTTTGTCCCGGTGTTACTGTGCAAGTAAAAACCCGCGTACAGTCCGAGGTGTTTTCCTAGCTTCCATTCTGTGTAACATCGGCCCCGGGCTGTGCCCATTCTCAAGAATTTTCAGCTGAGAATTTAATTTCAGTTTCGGCATTGCATGGCTCTGTCATCATCATTAGGCCAGAACCATTGGCAACTGTGCAGTGAATAGGAAGTTTAGAAGACATGCGAAGTATTCGTGGTTGGGGGAAATGGAAGGAAGCTCTCTGTGTGCTGCAGTCCGAGAAGTGTCGGGGTCGAAAACTGGAGCGTTTTGCGACGTTGAACGGGCTTTGACAGGCTTTGTTCAATGGCAATGGAGCACTGCTGGAGCTCCCATCAATACTCGTGCTTGGCGCGTTTTGTTGTCACCTCTAAAAAGTGGCTGCTGCACGACTCTCGCATGTCTAGCTTGTCATTGCCTTCGAAGGACAAATTATAAGCGCCGTGTGATGTGTGTCTGAATAAAACAGTCAAGGACCGTTTCAAGCACAGTATGCAGAGTACATGCGATCAGGAGGTCCGGAAGCTACCCTTGCCACAAGGCTGAAGTAGGGCTCTCTAAGCGATGCAGTGCACGTGAATCTCTGAAACATCGATTCCCAAGGCGCCCGCCCATTCGTTGTGCCGTCCAGGAGTGCTTGGTTACAAACACTTTTGATGGTTGTGAAGGTGAGGAGCTGTGGGAAGACATATTGCCACATTGAATATGCAGCACGAAGAGAACAACGAAGAACACGCGCAGCGAGTAAGGAAGACGAGGTTCTCTTCCGATCAGTTTGCCAGTGTTCTGGTACAATTAAAGTGAGTTCCCTGGATTCGACTGCTGCTGTTTCTGCATTGTGACACCGGTGGAGGCGCTGGGTACATGTTCAGGACGCCTGACAACAGCCCCGGATCTGGTCAAGAAAGACTTCCGCGCATCGACACCCCCGTTCACCGCAGCAGCCGGCGCCTGTTATGCCTCAGCCCGGAGAGTTTGGTCCATTGCCGGAAAGCGTGACTGTGCCAGAAAGCATGACGGCGCCTGGAAGCACTGGCCCCAACATGTCCAGCCCAAGCACGACACAGGTGACTGTTTTGAACCCTCGACTTCCGGTTGACTTCCACGGAAACGCATATGAGGATGCACATGACTGGCTCGAGGAATTCGAGCACACAGCGAATGTTGACGGTTGGAACACTACACAGAAATTGGGCTACGTTTATTTTCCACTTCAAGACGGAGCCCGAACGTGGTTCACGAATCTCGTGTGGTCGTCTTGGGACGAGTTCCGGCAGAAGTTTCTCGGCACGTTCGCGAGCACTGAAAGATTCTTTAATCGCACAGCGTCTCCTCGAGTCACGGATTCAGAAACCAAATGAATCCGTTACGATGTTTGTTGAGGACATGGCGCGGCTATTTCGTCGAGCAGATCCTAATATGCCCGAAGCCAAAAAGGTTAGCCACCTCATGCGGGGCGTTAAGGAGCAGCTGTTCGCTGGCCTCGTACGAAACCCGCCTACAAGTGTGGATGAATTCTCCAAGGAGGCGACATCTATCGAACGCGCACTGCATCTACGTTATCGCCAGTATGACCGCCCAACCCACAGTGCATCGATCAGCGCGGCAGCCTCTACCACAGCAACAACACCCGACGAAGGTTCTTTGCGCCAACTAATACGAGAAATCGTACAAGAAGAGGTCAAGAAACTCGTCGCCAAACCGAATGACTGCGCGATCGCCTCAGTAACGGAAGTTGTACGCCAGGAGATCAGCCAAGCGCTCTCGCTTCTTGAGCCGAACACGAGCACTCCCAGGGCAAGCTATGCAGACGTAGTCCGCCGACAGCCAGCGAACGTGCCGACACCACATCAGTACCACCAGCAACATCCGCCGACAGCGCCTTGGTACTACAGAGAAACTTCGATGCCGAGGCGGCCACCACTTCGCAAAACTGACATCTGGCGTACCCCTGATCATAGGCCCCTGTGCTTTCACTGTGGGGAAGCAGGCCACATCGTTCGGTATTGCCCGCATCGCGCCGCAGGGTACCAAGGGTTTCCTTCTACGGTTCCTCGGCGCCATTTCAACGGAACATCTGACGTAGACACGAGTGTCATGACCTCGCGGGATGTTCCCCCTGGGTTTCGGTCACGCTCACCCTCTCCTGAGCGTTATTCTCCATCCTCTAGACGGAGCACCACTGACATGCCAAGAGGGAGATCTCCTAGTTCACGCCGGGGAAACTAAAAGCAGCGACCTCAGGGGGGAAGGTTGCGAATCGTCGAAGTGCTGAAAATCCCCCATTACTGCTGAGTGAAGAGAGACACATTTTCAATGAATCGACGAAAGATGGGGTTGTTACTGCCGAAGTTGCAATTACAATTGACGGACATGACGTCATGGAATTGGTCGACACTGGCGCGGGCTTCTCAATAATGAGTGAGAGTCTGGCAGACACGCTCAGGAAGGTTAGAATGGAATTGACAGGACCGCAGATTAGAGGAGCTGGAGGGCAGCTACTCACACCTACCGGAAAGTGCACCGCAAGAATGATGATAGGGGATGCATCCTTCGTCGCAACTTTTGTTATCCTTTCTGAGTGCTGCAAACAGGCGATCTTGGGGATGGATTTCTTGCGTGAATATGGTGCCATCATCAATATTCCGAACGGTGTACTGACCTTTTCAGCGGATCAAAGCGCAGCGCTACACCGAAAATCCCTACGAGTCATTGACGATGTGACCGTACCTCCGTTATCTTGCCGCCTTGTTTCAGTCACGTGCAGCGAGCAGAATACTGGAGAAGGAATCGCTGAACAAGTATTGACGCTCCTACTCTCTCGCGGTGTTGCAATTGCCAGAAGTATCGTCAACGTTGTGTGCGGTGAAGCAGAGGTTCTGTTGACGAATTTTACCAACAAGCGACGACACATTACACAAGGCACTACAGTTGCCTACTTCGACGAGATCACCGAAATCCGCGAGTGCTGTGTAGTACAACAGGACGAGCCGCAAGCCACGTCAGCCCCACCACCTATTGACGTAAGCTCGGATTTGTCACCAGCGCAGAGACAGCGTCTAGTAGATTTTCTTCACCAGTTCAAAGACTTTTTCATCGACCTCGAGGGTCAGTCAAACGCCACTGACGAAGCATCGGATAATAACGGAGGAGACGGCAAGGCCAATACGACAGAACCCATACCGCGTAGCACCGAAAGAGCGTGAAGCAATCCAGGAACAAGTGAAGAAAATGTTCGATGATGACGTCATCCAGCCGTCAAGAAGTCCTTGGGCATCGCCGGTAGTGCTGGTTAAAAAGAAAGACGGAAGCTTGCGATTTTGTGTCGACTACCGCAAGCTGAACCGTGTGACAAAGAAAGACGGACGTGTACCCATTACCGCGCATAGATGATTCACTCGACAGGCTGAGGTATGCACGCTACTTTTCGTCAATGGACCTCAAAAGTAGGTATTGGCAAATCGAGGTCGACGAGCGAGATAGAGAAAAAACGGCTTTTGTAACGCCTGACGGGCTTTATGAATTTAAAGTCTTGCCATTCGGATTGTGCTCAGCCCCCGCAACATTTCAGAGACTGATGGATACCGTTCTGTCAGGCCTTAAGTGGTAGACATGTCTGGTCTATCTGGACGACGTCATTGTTTTTTTTTTCAAAAACATTTGAGGAACACCTGAGCAGGCTGCTATCGGTATTCAGGGCAATAAGGTCTGCCGGCCTGACACTGAAACCCGAGAAGTGCTGTTCGGTTTCAAGGAGCTTCAATTTTTAGGCCATGTGGTGAGCCATAAAGGTGTTCGACCTGATCCTGATAAGATTGCGGCCGTCAGAAAATTTCCGGTACCAAAAGACAAGAAAGCAGTCAGGCGTTTCCTTGGCCTATGCGCATACTACCGAAGGTTTATTGTCAATTTCTTCCACATAGCCTCGCCGTTAACACGACTCACAAGAGAAGACGTTTCATTCACATGGGGCGACGATCAACAGGTGGCATTTGCCGATCTCCGACAACGCCTGCAGACTCCGCCTGTGCTTGCTCACTTTGATGAGGATGCTCCTACCATGGTCCATACAGATGCCAGCAACGTGGGTTTAGGCGCTGTACTCGTCCAGTGGCAAGACTCAGCTCAGCGTGTGATCGCATATGCTAGTAGGACGCTTTCCCGCGCCGAGTCCAACTACTCCACAACGGAAAAAGAGTGCCTTGCTGTCGTATGGGCGGTTATGAAGTTTCGTCCGTACCTCTATGGTCGTTCCTTCCACGTAGTCAGCGACCATCATTCCCTCTGCTGGCTGACCAACTTGAAAGACCCGTCTGGTCGGCTCGCACGGTGGAGCTTACGCCTCCAAGAGTTTGATGTGACGGTCGTGTATAAGTCCGGATGACAGCACGCCGACGCCGATTGCTTATCAAGGTCACCGATAAAGCGCGACGATGACACAGAAGATGACAGCATGGCGTTTGTAGGAGTCGTTGACACCACTACGATTTCGTGCAAGCAGAAAGAAGACAGTGAGTTGCTTCCTCTTATTGAATTTTTGAATGGCCGGACAACAACCGTCCCTAGAAGATTTGCAAGGAGCCTGCCGTCATTCTGCTTACGTAGTGGTGTTCTCTATAAGAACTTTTCTTCCAGAGGAAGCACCCACCTACTTGTCGTTCTGACGTCACTTCGTGAGGAGATAC